GGGGGAGGGGGAGGGGCAGATCAGATGGCTCTGAGGGACGCACGCCCACGCCAAGCAGCTCGTTGAGCTGGCCTATGAATGAGGCATTTTCCTGAAAAAGAAGAAGAAGACTAGGAACATCGTCTCCTCTCTTACCATCATACAAACGCCTGACCATTCAGAGAGTTACCCTCTCGTGGCCGGCGCCAGAAAGGCCGCCTCTGATTGTTCGAGGCTTTGTATGGTAGTCCGGGAGGAGACGATGTTCCCCCTTCTTTCTCTTCCGGAAAATACCCCGACAGGCTCATTCATTCAGGGTGTTCAGAGCATAATGCGATGGAGGGGGCGAATGGATGTACTAACCCACATGCAGCCGTGCGGGTTGCCTACACTCTGCGCTCGGAGCAGCAATCAGGACGTTAGGCAAACACACCGGGCACGCCTGTATGCGGGCTCCGCGAAAGGCACCACCGGTACACCCACCCCTACCCCTGTATTTACTGAGTCATTGCCCACTTTGGTGGTTCAACGGCACGCTGCTTGTCGATCGTTATCTAACGTGGTGCTGGGTACCTGTTGCTGGCCGAGGCTGCTCGAAGACCGACATGGAGTCGATAATGCATGGCATGGCGCGGGTCCAGGTACCCCTCTATGAGGATGATGGGGGGGGGGGGGCTGGCTACACCAACCTGCGGGCGCTCCATTGAACGTCATACCAGGTGGCTGATTCACGCCGCGCACTTCTGTAGGTATACTGTACCGCATGCACGAGTGCGGACGGGCTTGCCTATCGCTCCTGTCCACGGCGCCTTACGAGCCGAGCGAGTAGGCAACCCGCCTGCACCCATGCATGCGGTACAGCATAACCACAGAAGTGCGCGGCGTGAATCAGCCACCTGGTATCTGGACACTCGCCCGTATCGACCACAGAACAGGACACAAATCCCTCGCTATCCTACTATCAAGCGACCCCGAACCGCCCCCGCACCTTTTCGCACACTCCTATAGGCGGTCGCGCGACTTTGGCGTGATGAATATAAACTGGCGGTAATTTCTGCCGCGTTAGGGAAGCTCAGGGTCACCTGCTGTGTGGCGCTGCCGCCGGTGCTGGCCAGCCCGGTGCCGCCGCCGCACCTCGAGGAGGAGCGACTCGGACGGGCAGAGGAGACGACGAGACGACACGGAGACAGCAGCAGAGCGAGAGCGGAGCGTGGGCTCGGCGCGACTTACAGCAGCGAGGTGAAACAAAAATGTGACATGGCAGGGGAAACACATCGCATTTGGACGCGGTTCTCTCGAGTTGTACACCCTCCTCCTCGTCGGCGTCGTGATAGCGTGCCTCTTGCTGGATGTATGAGAAATACTGCGGCCGCACAGTGTTTGCTGCGGCTGTGTCCTTGACCTCTGCCCGACCGCTGCCCTGCTCCCAACCCCCAACTTCCCTTTTAGCACGCCGAGTCGACCCGCTTCCCACCGCCACGACCAGCGGCGACCACCGGGCGGCCGTCATGCGCTGGCCTGCCCCCTTTCTGTGACCAGTTTGTGACTGACGTCCGGTCGGGCGGCGCGGGGTGCTGGTCGTCCGCTGGGCCTGGGTGTACTCGCTACCCGCTAGTACGCACTACTACACACCTGACCGGGGGCCTCTTGGACAAACGCGTCCGCGTCCGTGTGGTCAGATTTGTTCGAGGGACGCGCCCTTTGGCGGCGGTCTCAAGTGGGTCAGTGATCGGGGGAGGCAGGTGGCTGCCGTGCCGGACGTGGCCAGGGCGCGGCGCGGCGCGGCGGGCACAACCTAAGCCAAGCAGGACGACCGGCCGCGGCGCCGTGGCGCCCGTACAGTAGGAGGCGCCTCCACACCACATCACGCCACGCCACGTCACGCCGGGCCACACTCGGGCTCTTTTATCGTTTACTGTTGTCTGCGATGACCGATGCCTGTCTAGAGTTTCGCACGGATTATTTTAAAACGCAGACGGAGTCGACGGGAGGCCGAGGCCGCCGCCGCCGCCGTGCTCTGTGAGATCCGGCGGCGGGCTGGCTGCGTGACCAAAGGAGCCCGCAGCGCGAGGTGCGGCGGGGCGGAGCGGGGTGCGGCGGAGCGGAGTGCGGCGGGGCGAGGTAGGGGTGGGGCGGGCGAGCGCCTCCTTGTGGACGAGCAGGCCGTCAGGCCCCGCTGATGTCACACCTCAGAATACATACGTCGCGCACTGGGGCGCGCTCGAGACAAAACGACTTGCATACCGACGGAATGTGGAGCTGGGCGTCGGCGGCGGCGGCCGGGCGCAGAGGCGCGCGCCTATCTCTCTTCAAGTCCAGCTCGCGATGCCGATGATGGTCCTCCTCGCGGTCCCGCGCGAGCCGGAAACATCAATAACTGCATTGCGTCGCGATGCACCGCGCGCGGTGCAGCTGCGTTGGTGCGCGACAAACAATGGCGTCGCATTGTCCGTCGGTTCAATTATTTCAACACCCAAGTCTCACTCCCCCCACTCCCCCCTCTCTCCTCCGTCCCTCTTTTTCGCACCGGGGCGTCACCACCGCAGTCAGGTCACCCCCCTGCTCTCTCACCTCGCTGCGAGCAGCGCGCGGGGACAGCCCGGCGGTGGTGGTGCCCACACCGCTGTCCAAGCAGTCCGCCCGCGTCCACGGAATACGGTACTTCACCCGCTCTTGCCCTTTGAGGGCGCGGCTTGGCGGACGAAGGCCACCCGCGTTCGCGCGAGGGGAAGACAACTAACTGGCGCGGGAAATTGGCGCCCAGAAGCAGCAGCAGCAGCAGCAGCAGCAGCAGCAGCAGCAGCAGCAGCAGGAAGCGGGGCGAGCGTCCAGCAGATACTTACAGGAGGCGAACCCCTCGGCGGCGTTTGCTTTATCGAACGGAGCCGCGGAGGAAAGTGTGCTGAGCGCCGAGTCAACACCGCGATGACCGCCCCGCGCGCGCTCTCTGCCGCGCCACGCCCCGCCGGCCCCGGCAGGGAACGTACTCGAGAGCTCGAGAGAGAGGTAGAGAAGTAGAGAGAGAGGCCATCTTGGGGGACGGGGGGGGGGGG